TGTGTAAGGGAAATGGAGTATTCAGAAGAATCCCATGTAAGCAAAGGGATAACATTCAAACTCTATACAGATTGTTTTTTGGCTGGGATTTCAAACCGAGGAGCCGAGTGCTGAACAGAAGTAGTGTTAACCACCAAGCCTCTGTGCTGCTTAATTTATTTTGTGAACATTCTCAACTTTTTTTTAGTAAATTAGCCTTATGCTTTCTGAACATTGGCTGTAATTGTGACAATTCCTTGCCAATTAGTTTTTAAAATGACTCTGTTTACAAACAAAATGAAGCTGGCATGGAAATGACAATTAGCGGAAATTTTTTTTTTCTAAATGCCACTTTTGCTTTTATACTTCTTACAGGCATGCCACTTGACAGATTTAAAGAGTAACTCCACTTTTTTTTAAGAAAAAAGCAATACCTTCTGGGTGATTGATGTACATTGCAAGGATTTTAACAGATTCCTACCTTTTGGGGATCTGAAGGGATAGCTGATTGTTTAACCATGTCTTTTAGATATTGATTCTGAATGGGAGGAACTGGTTCATTACAATCATCTCATGCAGTCTCTCAGTGTTTACCATTTTACCTTTTTGGGATGTGTTCCTATACACCAAACAGTGTACAGGTTGCCATATTGCATTGAATTTTATAAAATTACAGTGGTTGGAGATTAAAAAGGAAAGGTCATTTTTACTAACAATAAATCACAACATGGATTGTTTAGCAATTGTACATGCTATATATATTTTTTTAATTGCTATATTTTTGAGTTACCCTTTGTGTTGAGTTACCCTTTAATGCATCCTACAAGTATGTTATTTACAGGCTAACTCCACCTTCTGCACCATGCTACATGTTACACCCATTTTTAGGGTGAAAGATGTAACATGGTGAAAATAGGATCCCCAAACTGCTCCCCCATCACATTCTGTGGAGATTCTTCTTTTCCACAGCAGCTGCCACTTTTGAAATTCACAGAGATCTGTGAATCAATGAACTATAAATCCCATCCTCCCCTGTCTGTAATCACTGCACTTGTAAACCATTGACACTTCCACCATCTTCCCAAATGAAAGCCCATACCATGGTACAGACATAGAGCTGAAGGAAGTATCTGCAGGGGCGAGGTATTTCATCTGTGATCCACTGATCATACATTTATTATTTTTTCTAAAAGTGAACTTAGCCTTTAAATTGTATATATTTGTACATATTTATTGTTTCTTTTAAGCCTTATTAACACAACAGCTGTCTGAATAGTATTTTAAAAAGAGCATTTTTTTTTGCATTGGTACATGTCCCCCTGGCAGTGTCCAGCATCCTGTGCCCTTTGTTTTACAATCTCTTGCCTATTAGTCTTGAAATGGATAGAACTGACTTTCAAGATTCACCTCCCATTTACTTCAACTGGCTTTGCCTTAAAGTTTGCCATTTGTGGATTATTCTTATTGGATGTTTTCTCCGAAGAAGCCCATGGCTTGAACCCAGACAGGCTTGCGCATAACTTTGAGCTAATATTTTGCATATCCACCAGAATTTATATTCAAACTAATATTTACTTGAACCATTGGCTAAAACATAATTCCATCACAGTCTGATTTTGATCGCAAATGTTTGCCTTTCATGTGTATACATTTCAAGTAATGAACTAGGTGTAGCCCTGTTACCACTGTTGCAATCACAATCGTGTAGTTAAAGTGTTACTAAACCCATGACCCTGCATTCACTATATCCAGTCTTCCACAATACACAGAACATGGAAATGCAATTGTTTTAGAAAATATAAACTGCTAAATACCTTTTCTCATAAGCAGTATATAGTAATCTTGTGACTTCTATCAGTGCCCAAGCACTGGTTAATCTTGTAGGAGGAGTTTTCATTCTCCTCTGACCATGCTATGAGGCTGCATAACCTCTGTCCCTTTGTCTGGACAGTGCTGATTGGCCCTGTGCCAATCGCATGCACCCTTCTCCACTAAAAAAAAAAATCTATAGCAATACACACCAAACAGAGCATGTGCAAACTTGTCACTGCTGCTCTAACTATGGCAGTGATGGATAGGGGACAGCAAAAGGAGGGGGGGAGATCCAAGAAGACATGATCAATCAGTCTTTTTACAGAATGCAGAGGATTGACCCCTTAGGTTCCACAGTGACTATAAAAAGCATGCTTTACTGCAAATACAGACTGATTTTACTATTGTGGGTTTAGTAACACTTTATAGTATATAGAAATGATTGTACATCATACTAACATAGAAATAATATCCCTCAAGATCAAATCTCATACTTGTGGGCTCATTTCTAATCAAGCAAAGCAATTTAGAGACATAAGGCCCAGTGATGATTGATAAAAGTCACTCTTAAGTTCTTTAAATAATTCTAATATATTTTTCATTTGTTCTAGACAATTAACAGTGACTTGTGTCCATGCTATGCATATCTATTTCCTCTGCAAAGTGAAAACATTTCTCCTCTAATGTCAGAAGATAAATAACCTTGATTTATAAACTTCCCCCAAGAGATATTTCTATTGACCTTCACTATAGTTTCATAAAATAATTAGCAGTTGCAGGCTGTAATCACAGAGCTTATACTGTATCCCCTAATGTAAATGTAGTAATCTATTAACCACTTTAAAGTTTAAATATGACCATACAATTTAGATGCTGCCTGCCCAATGGTAGTGATTTTTATACATATGCATAAGACAGCACTCTATGATGCCCAGGCAACCTCTAGATAATGAAACCAAATTGTGCATTAGGGAAATTAATGCTGTTCACTAATTTTTTTGTAGTGATTTAGACACCACTAAGTCATGGTCACATTACAAAATTGTATCATGGGGAAAATAAGCACTGCACTGAACAATGTTAAATTGCATGTAAAACATAAAATTAACTTCCTGGATTTGTTCCCTTGTGGTCTGCCAAATACACAATTGGAAGCATTTTGTTACTTTTGTTAAATAAGTACAAACAAAAACTCCTGTCCTGTCAAGAATTCAGAACTGTCCAGTATCATTTAAACATATTCTGTGGTTCTACAAAGAGTTGTTTAGCCTTTCTAATTCTTATTCTGGACTGCAGAATGATTAGCATTTATTGTATGTTGTAGAGATGTAAAAGTAGGGGTGGATGAGTAGTTTAGTAAAAGACATGGGAAGATCTTACACCTCTCAATCCACTTAATTAACGGTTTTGTGTTGTCAGCCCACAAAGTTGAGTGCATTTCTGGCAGATCAGAAGGCATTTTTTAGTATTTGCAGGGTCTTTTAAAGAGGTCGTGGTCTTGAACAAGTGTGGCATACAACCAAATCCCTGCAAGACTTCCCCCTATATAAATATGCTTTCCTAAAATACCATTTCTCCCTCCATGCTGCCAAACAAACTGTCTCTCTTATTAATCCCTTGTCATCCAGTCCTTGCCGGCTCTTCGCTACCTTTAACTATCTGCTTTGTCCCTTACCTCTACCCACTATCTCACTCACTGCCCACTTCAAAGAAAAGATTACGCAATACATGAGGACACATCCACTATATAGAAATCTTCCCCACTTAACATACCTTGTCCAACAACACAGTCAACACTTTCCTCTTTTGACCAGGCTACTACTAAAAAGGTTACCAAACTGTTCTGAAATGCCCACCTAACCATTTGTCCCCTGGATCCTGTTACCATCACAATTACTACGGTCACCCTCTTCTTCTAGCCTAGGTTCTCTCACTCACATCTTCAATCTCTCCCTCTCTACTGCCATCTTCCCCTTCCCCCTAAAGCATGCACAGATCTCCCCCATACTTAAAAATCCCTCAATGAACCCCACCAACCTGAACAACTTAATACCTATCTCCTCGCTCCCATTAACCTCTAAACTTCTAGAATGCTTAGTCTACAACCATCTTAGCTCCTACCTCACTGAAAACAACCTTTATGACCCACTACAGTCTGGCTTTCGCTCACAGCACTCCACAGAACCTCACCTACTAAAACTCACTAATGATCTACTAACTGCTAAAACTAATGGCCATTACGCCATACTCTTACTACTTGACCTCTCTGCAGCCTTTGATATTGTTGACGCCTTTGATACTGTTTTGATTGTATTGTAGCTGTACTGTCTCCCTTTATATTGTAAAGCACTGCGCAAACTGTTGGCTCTACATATGTCCTGTATGATAATAATAAAGATAAAACAAGAGGAAAAATACACGTAATGCAGAGTTGTTTTGTATATTTTCTTCTGCCTTCATATACATTTTACACTTTGCTTTTTATACAAATTCATTTTAGTCCTGTATTTGTCAAGCCTTCACTCATCAAGCCATGTCTCCTTGCTTTTGAACCCCTTCTTTCTTCAGCCAGTGGCTTTCAATTGTATACAAGTTTAATATAAGTAATTTTCTTAGATAATGAAGGACAGTTGAGCCTACCTCAGTTGTTATTCTTCTCCCATTCTTCCATGGTAATATGCAAACAATATTAAGGATTTATGTATGTCTTAAAGTAGCTTTAACATAGACATCTTGCCTAAGAATAGACATCCATTAGCATTTGTTAGCCAGAAGGGCTTCCTCTGTGTACCCCTCTGATTTAATTCACTTAGATCTTGGGAACTGGTCTTTCCTGACTTTTTGGCTGGACTCCACAAACTGTCCAAAGTTTGAACAGCGGCCAAATATGTAGTCTTATTAGACAACACAATGGCAGTGAGTGGAGGTCAATCATGAAGCCAGAGTAAGTCAGGCCCCAAGAAAGTATCAAAGTAAAACTAAATCAGATCACAAATCACAAAAGATTTTCTGGCTACTAAAGGTAATAGCTAGCATCTTGTGGTGTCTGCTCATAGGCAGGACTTTCACTTACAAAATTTTGAAATAGAGTATACGTTCACTTTAAAGTGGTTGTAAACCTCAGACATGAAATATGAACGAAGCATGTCCCTCTATAGTGTGTCGCAATTAAGAGAACTAAGTGTCATTTCTGTCTGCTGTTTCATTCCTCTTCTATCAGCATGAATCACTTTTGACAAGTTTTCCTGACACCAAGACAAAAAAAGGGACAAGGAAGGGAGCTCCAGCACGCAGCCTGTGATTGATAGTCTCAGCCTTGTTCTTGTGTGCTGTGTAAGGAGCAGGGGCGGACTGACCATTTGGGAACTCGGGCACTGCCCGAGGGCCCGGGGTCAGTAGGGGGCCCTATGAGATGCCCCTGGTACCTTTCATAGGCTTTTTTGGGTGTGGTTTGAGTGTGGGCAAGGACACAGGGGCCCCATGATTCCCTATTGCCCAGGGGCCCATGAGTTGTCAGTCCGCCCCTGGTAAGGAGCATGTGTCCCTTCACTCCAATCAGCTCTCAGAGCTTTCCTCACTGAGCTCTGTAGTATGTAATTTTAGCCTGCTGCTTTCTGAACGCTCAGACAAACTTTATACATTTTGGACTTTGAATGGATGTAGAAAAAAAAAAGACTGCAGACAAAAAGATGCAACTAAAGTAGGAGGATTTGTTTTATCTCTGTGTGTCACCTGAAGCCAGTCGCCTCACTGGGTATATGTGAGGGTCTACAACCACTTTAAGCATGCTACTTTAAAAATGCTTTTAATAGTTCATTACCAGAAGGACCAAGTATAGCATCTACTTTTCATTTTCTTTACAGCATTATGTTTACTACTACACAATCTGTGAGGTTATGTTTACTTTTTGTATTCCGTTCACATGCAGTAAAAAAAATGGTATTGTTGTAAGCAACTGTTCCTGCTGTTTTTCATATCCAATGGCAATTATGGACCTACTTCTGCTGCAGAGGAAAGGTTTTCTACTTTTTTGAAAGCTTAGCATATGTATACTTGTGAATTAACTATGCAGTGCAAAAAAATGTTTGATGATCTTCTGGCATATTCTGCAGTCTATACCAGAAATATTCAAACTTGACTACTGGGACTGTGACAAGCAGGAGTTTTCAGCAGATCTGACCTTCACTTTATGAGGTCCTATTTAGTACTTGGCTGTTACCCAGTATTCCAGATTTAAGTTGATTTCTTAGCCTTCCCAGACTCACAGTTACATAATAAAGTATTATACAGGGGCGGACTGACCATTCGAGCACTCGGGCACTGCCCGAGGGCCTGGGGTCAGTAGGGGGCCCCATGAGATGCCCCTGGTACCTTTTCATTGGATTTTTCATAGGCTTTTTTGGGTGTGGGTGAGGACACAGGGGCCCCATGATCCCTTATTGCCTGGGAGCCCCATGAGTTGTCAGTCCACCCCTGATATTGTACAACAAAATCTTAGTTCCTCTTTAAAGCTTATTCTTTCAACATTCCCTTCACAGTTCTTTCATGCCAAACTAAAATCACATTCAAAAAGTCCATCCCTATTTAGCAGTAAATGTCACTACATAACTTAAGCAAGATTTATTGTTAGGGAACCTTTCCAATTACATTCCATCCAAATTTGTCATAAACTTGGCAAATTGTATGTAGTTTTTAAACAAGATAATATGTCAGTTGTATCTATGTCATTAGCATTTAAGCATAATAAAGTCACTGACAAGTTGACAATTTCTGCAATCTCAATAGTGGTTTGCTAAGTTTGAATATATAACAGACTCAGCAGAATTGTACAAATCATTTTGGCAGATAAAATGGTAACTGTATAGGCATTTCAACAGTGTGTTCAACTCAGTGGGATTTCCACTTTAAAAATAGGAACCTCTGTTTTTATTACCTCCATATTTAAATAATTGTCCTTGTAATAATAAACCTGGCCGTACACTATTACATTATTGAGCAAATATTAGTATGAATATTCACACAACAGATGTCATTCAATTGTACTTTAAAAATATTTACTTTTAAAAGTCAGTATTGCAGTAAATGGAGTTTCCTGAATGAAAACCACATTCACCGTTAGAAGTTGAATCATTTGAGGAAATTTTTTCCATCCTGCTCCTTCGGATCGTCTCATCCCTATGCTCAAAAATGTTTTAACAAAAATCTACTGGTGTTTGGACAGCTTTGGACTTTTTAGAATTCATCTCTGTAGATAAGATTACAGTGAGCTGGTACTAAAACCAATAATCCAGTTGCATTAACATGCCTAGAGCATGTATACACATTTGCTATATATACCATCAGACCACACATATTATTTTTCAGAAAAGGTCAGAAGATGAAAGCATACTTTCTAGAGGCAAAACATTTTCCTTTCTATTTTGCTGAGACATAGTGGACTTTATTTACTAAAGCTAGTTCACTCAGAATCCTGTGCACTTCTGCCTAGAAACCAATCAGCTTACAGGTTTCATTGCTAAAGCTTAATTGAACAAGCTGAGATTAGAAGCTGATTGGTTATCACACACAGGTGCATCAGATTCTGAGTGAACCAGCTTTAGTAAATAAACCCCAGTATCTCTTCAGTGACTTTTTAGAGCCAAGTACAGTGTTTTACTAGTTCATATGCATTCATAATGTTTACATTCATTACTACAGTAACTTGACACACTCTAGGATTTCAACTGAGGGTGAAGATTCTGTCCGAGAATGCACACTATCCTAAGATACCCCCTATGAATGTTTCCATCTCTGGAAATCTTAATAAGTCACAGGGAAATCATGTGCCTCTTCCCCAAGCTTTTTGGTACCCCAGACAACGGAGCACCACCTCCTCCACCTCAGCTCTGCCTCTCATTCTCTCTCTTATCTACTTTCATAACTAGATCTCCTTCCCTTAGGGATGAAACCTACTTCCATTAAAACCTGTAGTAACTCACCGCACTACTTCACTTTAAGACAAAAGGCTACTATAGATATCTAGTCCCACATTTCTTATTCATGGCCCCCTCTTCTCTTCAGTTGATGATGTGTGACACAAACACAAATTATTTTATGATGACAATACGATCTACAGACCTAAACATAGGAACTGCGGGGAACCTTAATTTGAAATGGGCTTTATCACAATTTCTTGGTTTATTTAACAGTGTAGTACAGCAAATTGAAGAGTTTCTACTAGTTGTCATTGTAACTGTGATTGTTCATAACTTTGTAGGTAGAGTAAGATAACAAGAAGATGCCTGGAGCGCAGCATCTAGTACTTTGCCGGTTCCACCCAAGCAAATAATTTAATAAATAATTTTTTTGATGATTCCTGCACAGTCACTTCAGAGTGCGCACCTCCTGTTTCCTGGGGCTGCACAGAGGTAATTGGTACTCTATTAGTCATGTGACAGTCACAAAAAAAATACAAATATATTTGAAAAATGTAAAAGAGAGGCCATAAAAGCAATAGTAATTGAGATTGTTTTTTAAACTTTCCTAATTTGCTCAAAGCTGGAGGTGGAGTTTTTATGTTGCCCAATGTGACCCTCCTGTCAAAGCTTGCAAACTCTAAATCAACATACCCGGAATAGTTTGCTGCTTTAGCAACCTGCGGACACATCCCGTTTACTGTACATGCTGGGAATTATAGTCTGTTGGTGCCAGCACTGATCTGCACATTGACTGACCTCCCTCCCTGCCCTGATGAACCTGCTACTTCGGAAACTTGCAGGTACTGTCCTGTGTAGCACACTCTGGTAAGTGTAATTTTGCTGGTGACAGCTTTGGTGCAGATTCATTGTCTTAGCCAAGTGAGAAGAGAAGAAAAGCGGGCTATGTTCTGATGTCTGCTGGTGAACCCCCAGGAATCAATTTGAACCCATGGTAGTTGCAAACCTTAACGTCATTGCTATTATACACATATAAGCAGAAATAAAACAGCTTCTGACCTAATACTTAATCAAATTAAAGTGTTAGCAAACGCAATAAAAGGAAATTCTTTCTGAATAATAACTAATGTTTTTGTGCTATTTGTCTAGAATATTTATTCATAAATAGATTTCTTGTAAAGCCTCAGGTCACCTAATCTTCCTTGATAGTAGTGGCAACAATCTGTGGGTTCATGGAGCTTCTGCACTGTTTCCACCACACTGCTCCTCTTCTTATATGTAAGTAAGTCGTGTGTAGACACATTACTTTCAAAAAGGTAAAGATACGCTGTATAGGAAAGACACCTAATTGGCCAGCTCACTGCATCCTGGTTTGAGGGGAGAGCTAAACCAGACAGTGGATCCTGTGATGTCCCTCTGCTTTTTAAGCCCCTTTTTCCAGTCTGTGCAAAGTGTGTTGGAGCTGTCAGTCAAGGATCCAATCTGGTGGGTGGATCAGATCCTAGACTGACAACCCCACTCCGCTTTGCACGACCTGGGATAGCAGACATGAAAAATCTGAGGGGTGTCAGAGGACACGTGACCCGCTTCAGTTTAGCCCCCCCACCACCAGCCCGGGTTGTGCCACAAGGAAAGAAAGAAAAAAGTTACTTGACCAGCTTTATGAAACACCTAAAAATTTATTATTTTTTATTACAGTGCTTTTCATATCAATTAAGGGCTGCTCCATTTAGATGAGGCAGAACTATCATGGTTTAGAATAATTTTAACAGAAACAATTGAGTACCGTCTGTGATAATTTTTTATTTGCACTAACATACAATTTTTTAGGACAAGCTTTCAGGGTATGCCCCCTTCTTCAAGGTCCCAGCAGTATCTTGAAGAAGGGGACATAGCCCGAATCTTGTCCTGAAAAATTGTATGTTAGTGCAAATAAAAAAGTATCATGGACAATACTCAATTACTTCTTTCACAAGTGCACTAGTTTGACTACAATTACCCCAAGCAAGCCTGAACAATATGAGGGGCGTCACAGGACACGTAACCCGCTTCAGTTTAGCCCCACCACCAGCCCGAGTTGTGCCACAAGGAAAGAAACAAAAAAGTTACTTGACCAACTTTATGAAACACCTAAAAATGTATAAATTTTTTTAAGTTCTTACAGTGCTTTCCATATCAGTTAAGAGCTGCCCCATTTAGATGAGGCAGAACTATCAGGGTTTTCGAATAATTTTAACAGAAACAATTGAGTATCGTCCGTGATACTTTTTTTATTTGTACTAACATTCAATTTTTAAGGACAAACTTTTCGGGGTATGCTTGGACCTTGAAGAAGGGGACATAGCCTAAAAGCTTGTCCTGAAAAATTGTATGTTAGTGTAAATAAAAAAAGTATCATGGACGGTACTCAATTGTTTCTTTCGCAAGTGCACTAATATGTCTACAATCAACTTAAGCAAATAATTCTAAGAATTTTATGTTACAGGTCAACAGGTCTTCAAAACACAGCAGCATGTTTACATCATGTTTTC